CGTCGCGGGCCCTCACCGGTCTCCGAGGCGGTCTCCACCCGCACCGGGTCGGACCAGGCGCTCCACGGGCCTTGGAAGGTGGGGCCGTGGAGCCTCGCGCGCAGCTGCAGGCGGTAGCGGGAGCGCGGGCGCAGCTCCAGAGTCTCCCCCAGCGCGCCCAGGGGCGGCTCCAGCACCTGCGCAGAGGGAAGCGAGCGGGTGGACCGGCGCCGGGTGTGGATGGGCGGGCACCGGGTCCTCCAGAGAGCGGCAGCTTTTGCACCCAAAGCCGACCACTGTGAATCCCAGGGGAACCTCAAAGAGCCTCACTGACGGAAAGCACGCCTCGCGGCGGGAACGAGAGCGAGAACAGCGACAGGGACAGAGCAGCTCGCTGCACCCGCGGCCTCCCCTGCCGAGGCGAGCCCAGCTCCGGGGAAACGGGCCCCACGCGCCGACACACAGGCCTCGTCGGCGCGGGAGCTGCTCGTCCCGACACACATATGTACGATGCCCCCTGACCCGGACACACGGACATCCCGCAGAAGCAGTGAAATCCCAGACGCTCAGATACTCAGGGCCCTTTGAAAATCACGCGCACCCAGCAGAGGATGCCAGGATTATGCCAGGTGCTGGCGCCACAAGGGCAGATTCCAAGTAGAGGGTACAAGCATCGCGGGTACAAGCAGGGAAACTATTAACTGAATAATTTAGCAAGCATTTATAGGCGTTGGGGAAAAGGGGAAATGAAACATGGTCTCATGTCTAATAAGGAAGACATGCAAACAAGTAAATAATTACAAGTAATTAGTGCTATAGTAATATAAGTAAGGCACCAGGAGCACCAAGGAGCATTTAGTGCTGCCTGAATTGCTTGTTGGGGACTACAGAGTAGTTTAGCAGGCAGGCTGGATAGGCAGGCTGGATGGTCAAAGATGAGGCTAAGACAATGGTAGGAGGGACTGGAGGACTGTTAGTACAATAAATTAAACTTGCTTGTTGATAATTAAGGAGAAGAGACAAGGCAAAAGGAAGAAGAGTCAAGGATTCCAGGCTTGGGTAACTGGTAAGCAGTGGTGCCATTGTCAGAAACAGGGTACAGAGGAGAAGTAAGTTTGAGGAGTAAGCACTGTATAGTTCCACTTTATTAAGTTCATCAGCAGTCAGACTTATCAATGGTAATGTCGGAATAGTGGTTACCTTGGAAGGGAGGTGTGCTACTGTAGGGGCAGGGGGAGCTTCAGGGCTGCTAAAAATAGCACTGTAATCTGGATAATGGTTACATGGGTGTATACGCATTTACAAATTATTCAACTGCATACTTAAGATTTGTGTACTTTACTGTGGATGAATTAAGTTTTGGATATATAGTAGTCCCTCCTTATCCACGGTCTCACTTTCCATGGTTTCAGTTACTGGTTTCAGTTACCCACAGTCAACCGTATTCTAAAAATATTGAATGGAAAATTACAGAAATAAACAACTTGTAAGTTTTTAAATGCCTGCCATTCTGAGTAGCATGATGAGAACTCACACCGCCCCGCTCCATCCCACCCAGGACTCAAATCATCCCTTTGTCCTGCCTGATAGTTTCTATGTAGCTGTCAAGGTATCACAATCCTTGTGTCCAAGTAACCCTTATTTTACTTAATAATAGCCCCAAAGTGCAAGAGTAGTGATGCTGGTAATTTGGATATGCTGAAGAGAAGCCATAAAGTATATGTATGTATTTATAGGAAAAAACATAATATATATAGGCTTTGGTACTATCCATGGTTTTTAAGGCCTCCAACTAGGGGTCTTAAAATGTATCCCCACAGATAAGGGGGGACTACTGTATGAGTCTGAAATGCCCCTGGGGGCTTTATGTAGATCTATCTGGTAAGAAGTTGTATATACTGTATATGTGATAAATAAGAATAAAAGCACAGAAAGAAAGATTTAACTAATGTATTTGAGTACCTTCTATCTGTCAGGCAGTATGCTAGATATTTATATAATTAACCTTTCCTGTAACTCTGGAAGGTAGATAGCTTTATTCTAATTTCACCAATGAGGAAACTGGGACTTCAAAAGTTTAAGTAATTTGCCTGTGGTATAGACGTTCCTTTCCATATGGTAAGTCTGGGATGGTTAATGTATGATTGTTAAAACCATGGAGTTGAAGCACTCACCTAGGGAAGGCGTATATTTATCTAGAAAAGAATCTAGGATGGGCCTGTAGGAAGCACAACATATTAAGGTAGAGTGGAAAAGGAAGAGCCAGGAAAGGAGAGTGAGAAGGTTCTGTCAGAGAGTTAGTAGGGTAATCAGAAGAGACTGATATCCCAGCGACAAAGGGAAGAGAAAATATTAAGTGGGAGATGCCAAAGAGAAGTTAAGATACCAGCTGCTTCATAAACACAGATATACAAGCCTAGACATGGACACATGACACCCTCACCCCTGGTAACAGGCATGGTGAAACTCAGGAATACCCTGTATGGTGAGGTCTGTGGGCATATGTTCCTTGGCCTTACCTTCCAGTCCTGATGGCCTTCTCCTGTGTATCGGAGCTGATAGCAGGTCTCTCGGGCTGCCCAGGATGATGGGTGCTGCCATTCCAATTCCAGCTGCCCGCTGGAGACCTCCCTCCAGTGCAAGTTTGGCGTGGGGATGAGCACTGCAGGGATGTCATCAGGGATTGGTCTAAGTCCTCTGTGCATGAGATATCATGCCACCAGGGCCGTGGGTCAGAAGTGTCAGAGTTGGTGGTGATTCTGGGCATAGGGTCAGATGCAGTGGTGGGTGGGAGAGGGGGAGAGTATGTGGGAAGAGAAAGGAGGAAAGTTCTTACCAGCCTGGTGGATCCAGAAAGGGGAGCCCAGGTAGCTGTGAAAGGCACCCTGGGCTGTGGTCACCTCCACAAGGATGTGAATAACGCTGTCATTTCGTGACTTGAAGTGGCAGCGGGAGAACTGGGAGGGTTGTAATCCTGGATTTTTCTCCTCTGCTTCACACTTCTCCCAGATGGGGTCCCTAAGAATCAGCCCCATAGAATCATTGAATCAGGGTTGCCTCAGAGACCAATCCTGACATTCTCCATCCCACAGGGGCTATGCACTGCGTGGATTATAATCTAACTCCTCTTTTGGATGGGCCACCAGAGCTTTCTCTGTCTTCATTCCATAATATTTTGTTTTCTGAAGTTTGTTTTGATGTCCAGCTTCTTCCCCTTAAGGAAGGAGCTAGATAATACATGAAAATAGCATGGAGTATAGAGTTCGGGTCTTGGCTTGTTGGCGTATAACTCTGGGCAAATTACTTGGTTTATCTCTGTCCTGATTTCCTCATTTGTAAAATGGGTTAATAGTACCTACTTCACAGGATTGTTTCAAAGGTCAAAAAGCCTCATCATTCTGCAGAAAAACATCCTTATGTTTTAAATCTGTTCTCATACAGCAACCCTCATAGTCACCTCCATATGTTATTTAATCAACAGCCTCCTAACTAGCTTTTCTGCCTCCATTTTCGCCACTCCCTTCAATTTATTCTCCACACAGCAACTGAAATTTGCTTCCAAAATGTTGATCTAATGATGTCCAGAATATATCACAAATCTGTCCATTTATTTTGATCTTGAACACTGCCACATTAGATGCAACCACCATTATCTCTTACCTGGATTAATGCAAATTTCTAACTGGTGATCCTGCTTCTACTCTTACCTCTTTATAATTTCACAAAGAAACATATCTTTTGAAAATGTAAATCATATCATGTCACTCTTCAGCTTAAAATCTTTTAATGGCTCTCCATCCCACTTGGAATAAAATCCAATCTCCGTACCAGGGCCTTCAGTACTCTATATGATTTAGCTCCTCCCTACCTCACCATTTCCTTGTCCCACAATTCTCATACCAGTTTCCCACCCTTCATCCGCACGGGCCTTCTTTCTGTCCTACAGTTAGGCCAGATGCACTGTCTTTGCACTTCACTTTGCCCTGGATTGCTCTGACTCTAGATTTTCATGTGACTTATTCCTTCTTGCCACTTAGGTTTTAGCTCATTTGTCACCTCCTTGGTGAGGCTTTCTCTGATCACTCAGTCTAAATTAGCAACCCTGCCCACACAGCCTCTATTACATAACCTAGTTTTTTTATTTATTGTTTGTCACCTCCTCTCTTCCACTAAAATGTAAGCCCCCCAAATGCTGGAAAATTTTCTGTTTTATTTGTCACTCTATCTCCAGTGCTTGGCATAGTCACCTTCGATATTGTTTATTAAACAAATGAATTGTGTCGCCTTCCTGATTATAGTCCGTAAATGGCTTGTTATTACTAAAATTATTTATCATTTTATGTATTTATATGTTTACTCATTTATTCACCAAATTATTGACACTATGTGCCTGGCACTGTGCTAGGCCCTAGGAATACATAGAGGAAAAATCTTTAAGGAGCTCTCATTTCAGGGGAGAGGCAGAAAACAAATGGATGGTATTTTTCTGTGCTGTGCACAGACTGATTCAGGAATATCAAGAAGGATGATCTTACCCAGAATGGGAGGGTCAGCGAATACTTCCTGAACAAGGCATTGCTTAAACTGAGTTTTGGACTATAAATAGGAGGCAAAGGGGAGAAATGGGCATCCGAGGCACATGCTTGGGCACAGATAAGAGATATGGTGCTTTGTGGGAAGTTTGAAGTGCAGAATGCTTTTAGCACACAGGGCCTGGTGGTGAGTGGTAAATGTGAGAGGGCAGACCAAGGTCACGGGTGGCCCTGTGGCCTTTCTAAGGGGCTTGAACTCAATCTTGTAGTAATTATGGAGACATTAAAAGATTTTAAACAGGGAATTATCATAATTGGCTTTGTACTTTAGGAAGACCACTCTAACTGTAGTTTGTAGGGAAGGATTTGTGAGGGTAAAGTAGAAGGAGAGAAATCCATTAGGACACTGTTATGGTTCCCACGTGCAAAGTGATGAGGATCTGAAATAGGGTTGCGGCAATGGGGGTAGAGGGGCATAGATAGATTCAAGGGATGCTGAAGAGGTAGAAATGACAAGACTGGACCCCGAGGATGTAGAAATGGCAGAAGTCCAGGGCAATTTCCATGTTTCAGGTCTGAAAATCTGAGCTGGTGGTAGGATGGAGGGCAATAAGAAAAGGAGCAGGTTTTGATAGAGGGAATGATAACTCCAGTTTTGCCACCGTTTAACCCATTCAAGGCACCTCTGTACTATGGAAATCTATGCAGTTATTAAGAACAATCAGTTGCATTTTTAAAATGACCTCCAAGGCATATTTTTAAGTAAAAAAGTGAGTTCACACACATGCAATTTATGCTGAAAAGTATTATGTATAGACATATATAAATGCATAGAAAACTGAAAGAATACATTAAAACTGTGCATAGTGTTTTGTTTCATCACTCATTCAGCAGTTTTTTACTGAGCACCTGCTATGTTCCAGGCACTGTGATGGGTGAAAATACGTTGGTGAGTAAAGACAGACACTGACTTTGCCCTCATGGATCATGTTTAGTCAAGATCAGCCTTTTCCAACTGGAATTCTGAGAGAAAAGATTTTTTTAATCCTCAGCCGAGGATATGTTTATTGATTTTAGAGAGACAGGAAGGAGAAGGGGGGGGCACTCATGTGAGAGAGAAACATCGATCAGTTGCCTCCTGTATGTGCCCTGACTGGGAATCGAACCTGCAACCTTTTGGTGTACGCTCCAACCAATTGAGCCACCTGGCCAGGGCTGAGAGAAAATTTTATTATCAATCAAGTAACCACACATTATAAATGTAAAATTCTAACTATGATAAGTACTTAAGAAAGAAAGTCACGTGGTACAACAAAGATGTATAGTAGTACTATTGGAAGGTCAGGGGAGGGTTCCCTGAGGAGGTGACAGTTGAGTTGAGGTCTATCTGAAGGATAAGTAAAAGTTAAGTAGAGACAGGAGAGCTGGGTAAACAGCACAGGCAAAGACCCAGAGGCAGGAGGGACTATGGCAGATAAGAGGGAACCGAAGAAGACCAGTACTGGAGCGTAGAGCAAAGGGCAGCGCAGTGTAACACGAGGCTGAAGGCCGAGGTAAGGGCTGAGTCTTTCAGAACTTTGCAAGGCCATGACAGAGTTCCTTACCCTAAGATCAATGGGACACTATTGAAGATTTTAAAGTAGGGAGTGTTATGTTCCTCTTTTTACTTTTAAAAGATCACTCCAGCTCCTGTGTGGAGAATGACTTGAGGATTCAAGAAGTGACCAGTTAAGTATTCTCAGTCACCCAAGTGAGAGGTGGCAATGGCCTGTACTAGGATAATGCCAGAGGTGAACAAAAAGACGGATTCTAGAGATATTTAATAGGTAAGATCAACAAGGTTTGGTTATAGATTGGACACGGTGGGGGTGACAAATCAGTGAGGTGTTTAGTGGAGATTCTTGAAGACCAGGCAAAGTTTTCATTGGATGTGGCAGATAGTGGAAAGTTGCAGGATGTGTCCGAGTGGGGGAAGGCCAGGCAAAGTCTGAGTTTAACTCGGTCAGCAGCACCAGGCATAAGTTGGAGATGAATGAGAATACAGGCTGTTGCAGTGCTCCAGGTGACATGATTAAAGCTGAACTAGACCAAGGCATTCCCCGTGGGAATGGAGAGAAGCTGAGAAGATAAAACACCCTTTGGAAGATGAGAGCATGGAGGCCATTTGGTTGTGGGACAGGGAGTGGAGTAAAGAAGACCAAGAACAATCTCTCCCCTCTTTCTGCAAGTTTGTGCCTCTCTCCCATGACATCAAACTCAATCACCAGTTTAATGCTCACCTGTCTCTGGGACAGCACCATGGCCTGCCGTGATAGAAGAAGCCTTGGGAGCTAGCGTGGTCCTGTTGCTGCCACTGACAGGTAACATTCTTCAAGTCCAGGGTGAAGCATTGCAGTCCAATTTCCACTGAATCAGAGAAGGAAGTCCCATCAGGGCCCACAGGCTCCTACTCTATAGGGTATCCAGATCATCTTTACACTCATAACTTGGAACATTTACTCCTACTCTTTGTTTTCTCCACGAACATAGTTCCCTCTGTCCGGTGGCAGGTTCAAGGTCATCAGGAAGGACCATGGTTATCAGAGCTTCCATGTCTAGCCCAGGCCTCCCTAGAGATCTTTTTACTTCCTCTTCATCTCCTCATTCCTTTATTGACTCACCTGCATCTCCAGGCAGGTCCACGGTTGCAGAGTGGGACCAGGGTCCCCAGGAGCCATGGAGGGAGACCCCATCAGGTTGGCTGCGCAGCTGGAGCCAGTAGGAATTCCCAGGCTGGAGCCCTGAGATGAGGCAGCTTCCACTCATCACTGTCAGAGATGGAGCCTTGAGAGAAGAATTCCAGCCTCAGAATCTAGGTCTACCTCTCAGCCAAGGCAGCCTCCATCTCTTACATTTGAAGCCTCACAGCATGCTTGTGGAGAGATGCTCAATTCCTTACTGGATGGATATGCACACAGACTGGGGGCCAGGTCAGTGGGTTTCAGGTGGTGTTCAGGGGTTTTTAGGGAAATCCCCATTAATTTGGAGACCTGAAACTCTCAATTCTGTTGGTATGAATGACACAAAGTGGGAGATCCTTAAATAGACATAGTTCCTGGGGACTAATCAGAGTTTGTACTAATTCCCCAAGGACCAACCCAGTCTGGAATCCCCAAAGCATGGCCTGTCCTTTCTTGGGGCAAAATTAGGGGTAGGAGATAGGAAGTGGAGTGGAAGAAGGCCAGGATACTTCTCTAGTTGGGAAGGTCTGTTCTGGTCTGTCTTGTTGGGGCCTCATGGGCTCTGCACATGCAGGCTGATCCAGAGCTGGGGCTGGGTTTGGCCTCCGCAGAGCTGGGCAGCAAGTTTCTGTGGACAGCAACTGCATGACTGTGGAACCAGTGGAGTTCCTGGGATCCTTGGGACCATAGCGGAGTTGGTGCCTCAGGAAATCACTGATTTCAGGAGTTGGGGCCTTCCAGCTGATCTGAAGTTCCCCTGGTTGGCTCCCACCCATGGCTTTGATGATATTGGGGGGAGCTGGTAGGCCTGAGGGCAAGACAAGGCACATCAAAACTCTCTGAGTGCCACAGTCTACAATTCAATCTGTGGATTGTAGAGAGGGGTGCTAGAGGCTGGATTGGCTCTCTTGGAGGGCAGGGCAGGGCCTCATCCTGTTCTCCTTTCCTCATATGGACAGTGACCTCATTCTAGCTTAGTCAGACTCAGTGATCCTCAAGAACAGGGACTTCTTTTCATCAAGAGCAAGGACCTCTGTATCCTTGTCACCTACCACAGTGCCTGGCACATAGTAGGTATTCTGTAACTGTTGAATGAGTGTATAAATGAGTAGGTTAATGGCAGGAGGGCCAGGTGTCTCTGATGTGAAATGAAGTCTAGGTCTCGATGCCAAGGCTGGGAGGAATGATAAGGTCATCTTGAGGTATCTCTGGGGGCCTAGGGATGGAGCACACGCATGTTGTCCTGAAGGAGCACCAACCAGTATGACTCTATGATCTAGCCTGGGGGCAGCAAACAGAGGGGCCAGGGTGATGGGGATGGCCCTTACCCACATGATCCACAAAGAGCACCCGCTGGGTCAGGTTGAGGTTCAGGAACACGTTCTTCACCCAGAGGCGCAGTGGAAAGAAGAGACGAACATCATCCAGGGCTGGAAACTGGCACACATATCGAGTTCCAAAGGGGGACATATTCTGGGAACTCAGGGGGCAGGCACGGGGCTCCTCCCTGTGGGCATAGGAAAAGTCCATCCTACCTACCCGACCACCCTCAGGACCCAGGCTGGCCCCAAGCCCTACTTTTCTTTCCATTTCTGCCTTGCTCTTCTCCATGCCTGGGATAGGTGGGATGAAGGTTTATGTAGGGGCTTGAGCTGGGTCTGTTCAAAGCACACCGGTTCATTAAGTGGCTCCTTAGGGCATGCACTTCCAGTAATTCTCTTATGGGGCCAAAGGTAGAACAGGACAGACGCAGGCGAGTGGGGCACAGCCCAGCACATACCCTGGGTAGGCATACAGCAGCTGGTATGTTCCACTGGGTGCTGCCCCTTCCTCATCCCAGAAGCAAGTGAGGTCCTCAAATGTTCGAGAAAAACAGTTCAGGGGCTCTGGGTCCGAGGCCAGCAAGGAGGCATCTGAGGAACAGCTGGTGAGTTGGGCTCTGGGTCCTTCCAGGCATGTTTGAGAAAGAGTAGGGGACCAGTGGGAGCCTCCTAACTTGCACCCCTCCCAGGGCTCCCTCTTTCTGGCTGTAGGTGAGCTCCACCCTCCACACACCTCACCTTGGCTGGTGACTTGTGCCAGGTTTTGGGGGACCAGGAGGAGGCAGGAGGTGACCACCAAGAGGGCCCAGGAGGGCATCTTCTCCGGCACTGTGTGCCTGCCTTAGCCCATCCTCCCTTCAGGAAGCCGGGCCCCAATCCCCTCCCGGGCCAGCCCCTCAGGTTCCTGTCAGATACAGCCCCACGTCCTGTCCCTGTCCCTGCCCTTGTGGGGCCCATCTAGACCACACTGGGGCCAGGGGCCAGAGGCCAGGGGAGGGGGAGTGGGACAGGAGGGTAGGAGGAATTTGAAAGAGAGGAGGCAGGCCTTTTGGTGGGAGGGAGATGAGGGTTGTATTTTTGACCATGTACCAGAAAGAGACAAGCTTCCATGTGTGTCTACGTTGACTATTCTAGAAGGGTGTATTATCAACAAGAATAGTAGCATTTACTGAACACTTACTATGCTGCCATGCTTTAAGGGCTTTCTATCTGTTGACTCAGCTAATCTTCACAATAGTCTTATTGCTCCCATTAGAGTAATAAAACCCAGACTCCTCCTAATCCAGATGCACAAGGTCCTGCCCGACTGGCCCCTGCCTACTCAAATCTCATCTCCTACCGCTGTCCTCACTCTGGCCCAGCCACAATAACCTCATTGTGTCTCTCATCTTAACCCTTATCATGCTAAGCCTTTCTGCAGCATTTGATATTCTTCTCCTTGTTTGGATCCTACAATGTGTCACATTCTCCTGGTTCCTCCTACTCTCGTAACAGTGACCCTCCCCACCCCCAGTTTCTCTCTCCCTCCACTTCTACATTCAGGTTTTACCAGGTCCTGTGACTTCTACAGGGAGGTGGTATAATAGTGGTTAAGGGTGCAGAGCCCACACACAAGAGGTTTGCCCATGGCTGGCAGAGGGTTGAGATGAGGGCTTTCTGCTCCTTCATGGAAGGAGGTTCAGCTACCTGTCCCTGCCATTTCCCCATTTTTCTCTGCTCCCACACAGCTGGAGAGAGGTGCTTCCCCCAGTCCTTCACTTCTTTAGGATATCAAGCAGGAACTGGAACATGCTTAGGGAGACCACTTAGGTCCATCTACTCTTTGGCCAAATAGTCCAGTAGGCTTCTAAGGTCCGGCCCAGGCAGCAGGCCTAGGCTTTACTGTCCGCATGTAAGATCGCAGTGCATCCGTTGCTGAAGGAACTCAAGGGGCTGCTGGATGGGGACTGGCTCAGGCAGGATGTAGAGTGGTGTTAAAAGGGGCAGGGAGAGGGGAAGTCTTGGTTTGTTGCATTTGTTGCATTTGCTGCTTTTTGTGATGGAAATACCCAACCATGGCCAATTTCAAGCTACTAACAGGATGTCACTGAGCAGTGATTGGGAAGAGAGTTGGCTCCCCTGTGCCCTTGCCCTTGTCTCACCATTTCCCCAGATTTCCAACATCTGTGTTTTTATCCAGTCAGAAAGTCTAAGATAGGTAGCTCCAGGCACTTGAGTCTCCATCTCCCCGTCGCTTTCCCAGCACTGCCTGACTTCTCTCCAAAATGATGGCTCCATTTACACCTCTAGCAGCGTGTTAGAGCCCTCTACCTCCCCCACACCTGTATCAGCGCTGTTTTAAGTCTGCCATTCTGAGAGTTCAGTGTTTTTCTGAAGCTCGAATTTGCTTTTATTCTTTCCCTGCTTGAAATCCTTTCACGTGTCTACATGTTCCTTTGGCCCAAGACTCACCTCTTAATGCTAGAACACAGCCCTTTGACCTTTCATCTTCCAGCTCTTGGGCTCTCTCCCCTTTCCTGCCACAGAGCCTTGTTTCCTTGCTTCCCCAGGCACAGAACCCTCCAACCTCTTAGCCTGCTGGAACTTTCTTTGTGATTCAAGGTTTGTCCCCAAGTCACTTCTTGGGGAGACTTTTCTTATCTCCCAACTATACGTAATGGAGGAAAAAGCTAATTTTACAAAGAGAAATGCAATCCCACATTCCTTTCAGAGGCTTCAGTGGCTCTCTTGTGATCAGAAACAACTTGGTGAGCCTTTGGGCATGACCTTGATGGGAAGACATTAGAGAGCTAAATTTGCTGAATATAGAATTGATGGGAATTTTGGCATGTTCTATGCTAACTCCTGAGAAAAAGGAGGAGGGCTAGTAAGTGACAGACAGGGATCTGAGGAGAGGCTTCACCAGGGAGAAATTCCAGTAAGAGGGCTGTTGGGGGAAAATTTTAGAACAGTGATGCCTAATATTCAGTTTTAAGTTTACACCCTATTCTGTAAATGCTTAGCTTCCCTATAGCACCCCAGATATTCAGTAAAAGTGTCCTCTACACAAAACCTGATATTTGTGGTGGTTGGGGAATAAAGGGAGAAATGCCTTTTCTGACACCTGTGGAGTTGAGAGAGGGTTGCAGCCATGGAAAGTGAGCAACCCAGTGATCAAGAATGTAGCAAGAGGCGGTGGAAGCATGAGACTGACAGATCTCAGAGGGAAGGGGGTGGGGGGACAGGAAAAGATTAACCAAAGGACATATATGCATATATGCAAAGCCCATCGACACAGACAATAGTGTGGAGAAGGCCTGGGGTGGGGTGGGGGCTTGGTGAAGGGGGCAAAGGGGAGGACATCTGTAATACTGTCAACAATAAATAAAAAAAGAAAAGAATTTAGCAAGAGCAGGGATTCAGATTGAGAGGTGATCATGAGGATACAAACCCTGGCAGAGTCCTAGTAGAAACAGAGGAGGGCGTGGACTTCCCTGAGAATGTGGAATAGGGACTGAGCTGTTCTAATTGAATATAAATGGAAAAGGTTACTCCAAAGGGCTGCCTTGAGGATATTTGGGTTGCATACTTATAATCCATCCTTCCTCTAAGTGCCCCAAAATTTTGTGCCTCTGTTGGGGTGCATAAACAGCCACGCTGACTCCACCTTTAGCTAGACAAGAGGTGAACCCTGCCAAGTGGGATTGTTATCTTAACACTCCTCCTCCTGGGGTAAAAGTTGGGTGGGAGTGGGCCTCCCTGATTCCCTATCCGACCAGCTACCATTGAGACTTGCATGTCTCATTTCTTCATGCAATGACTCTATTAGGTGCCCTTTTCCTTACTTATAGAAGAGAAAATAGAGGCTGAGATGGATTAAATGAGTCGTCTAAAGTCATTATTAAGGAGCAGAGCTGAGATTTGAATTCAGGCCTGGTTGACTGCAAAGTCTGTTCTTTAGCTACTATACAGACACCCCTGACCAGACCTCCGATTCCTCCATTTTATTCATTGATTCAACGTCGTGTGCTTGGCACAGGACCTGACGTGAATCTCTTGCAGGGTCTGAAGTTCAAAACAGGCATCAGGAGAGACTTAATTTAATTAAATGGGAAAAGGACCAGTAGCTAGCTGCCCAGCAGTGACGCCAAGCGAGACAGTTGCAGGGACCCAGTTCGGTTTCTGAGCTGCTTTTACTGAGCTGCCAGGCTCCCTCTGACCCCTGGATCCATGTTTCTTGTTGCGGAAACATGAGGACCAGCCTACTACAGCCAGACTCTGGCCTGTCCCACCCCGGGAGAGGGCCGGGTGAGATAAGAGGATGCACAGCCCCTAGGAGGAGCCTGAGCTGCCCGGAGGGCCAGGCAGGAAATCACTCCTTCCTGGGGGGCCCAGAGGGAATGACTCAGGGCTGGCTGGTGGGAGTTCCGTTTCTGCGGCCGGCTGCAGTGAGGCGCCTTGGGCAGCAAGCTCAGGGTCGCCTTCCCCAGCTGCCTGCCTAATGAGGCCTGGAGAGATGTGTCTTGGCCTTTCCTCTTCTCTTTTCCATCATTTCTCTGGATGCAAGTTTGTGCTGCTGGACTGGTCTCTTGCTCCAACCCCTGCCCCACCCGGGCCATCCCCTGTGAAAATATAGCTGTAGAGAGAAGCAGCGGGAACAGAAGCAGACAGGTGTGGGGCAGCCAGGCTGAGTATTTAGGTGCTCTGTGCCTGCAGGTTGGGCTTTGTTTGTAGGGAGCTGTGGGTGCGATGGGGCCACAGTGGAAATGTGGGGATCTTCTGTTGGGCAAGGGTGCCCCTTGGGTCCTGCCCTTAGCCCAGGACCTGGCATGTAGTATGAGACCAATGTATTTGTGCTGAATTTGGAAGTTGTATTTTACTCCAACCTGACCCCTTTTCACTGTGCCAGAGAAGCAGCATGGCACTATGGCTAAGAGAGGGACTCTGAAGCCAGAGTATCTAGGTTTGAATCCCAGCTCTGCCATTTACTAGCTGTCACACTTTGGCTACATTACTTAACCTCTCTGAGCTTGTTTGCTCTTTTGTAAAATGGGGATCATAATAATAGTACCACTTAATACATTGTTGAAGACTGAAGGAATTAATACATGCTAAGTGCTTGGAATAGCACCTGGCAATTAAGTGCCCTGTAAGTATTAGATGCTTTTGTTCTTTTAGTGACTGGCATCTCCAGCAACCCAGTTATCTAAGCAGAAGCTTGGTAGTAATCCTAGATGGACTCTACATTCCCATATTCAACCTGTCCATTTTTTTACCGGTGTATTTCTTCCAGTTCGCCACCACACCGTCATTTCTCACCAGCACTACTGGAATAGTTTCTCACTGATCTCCTTGCCTTCACTCTATCTTTCTCTAATAGCTTTATTGAGATATAATTCACATATCATATGATTCACCCATTTAAAGTGTACAATTCAGTGGTTTTTAATATATTCACAGATATAGGCAACCAGAGTCAATTTTAGATTTTTTTTTTATTACCTCAGAAAGAAATCCATATCTTTTAACTCTTGTCCTCTTAGCCCCCCATCTTCCTCCCAGCCCCAATGCAGCAGGTTTTCCTATTCTGGACATTTCATATAAATTATATGCAAATAATATGAGGTCATTTGTTCCTAGCTTCTGTCACTTAGCATGGTATTTTCTTTTTTTTTTTTAAAGATTTTTTAAAATGTTTTTACTTTTAGAGAGGGTGGGGGGAGAGAAAGAAAGCAAAATATCGATGTGAGAGAGGCATTGATTGGCTGCCTCCCTTAAGCCCCCTTCCTGGGGATTGAGCCGGCAACCTGGCCATATGCCCTGACCAGGAATCGAACT